ATCCTTTACCAATATATTTTTGTAATTATTCATCATGTTTTATGTATAACTTCTCGTTCATAATGGATGGCAACGTCTTTTGAGATTAAAACAAGAATTCATAGCAAAATCAAAACATTCTCTTCAGTTCACTGTGAATAGGTTTGCTATCCGTTTAGCGAAAAATCAGTAGAGAATTTTACAACTCGAAACACAACTGGTTGATTAATCTGCCTACTGAGAACGATTATATCCTTACTCTAGTGAACACGTGGTGTGACATATTCTGTTCCTATATTTAAAACCACTTTAATAATCCGGAACTTTTGAACTCTATCATCCTTCCATGAATATCTACATTGTTTACGATCAACAAAATACTCTGCGCTTACCTGCCCTGCTTTGCCATTTAATATGCATCCCATGATGCCCTCCATTAAGATGTGTTCTCGACATATCTAAGATCCAAGTGATTAAGCCCTTCGTTTTATTTACTTATCGACATTTATAGTTAGATATAAAAAAAGTTTATTAATGAGAATAGCATCTATAAGTAATACATTTTGCTCAGAATTATAAAGTAATAACTAGTCTGTCCATATTAGAGCAAATTTAAAAAAGCGCGTATACCCGGATAAATATGATCCGTAAGAGAAAAACCAACTCACAAGGATCAAAAATTTTCGAAGATGCTTTTAGTATTACACCAAGAGCTAAACTTATTCAAATCGTTGAACCTCATGGAAAAGTTACATCATCTATCCATTTTTACTAGGCAGGGTTACACAATATCAGCGGTGCAAGAAATAAAGATGAATATTCATATCGATTAGTGAATAAAATCTATTGATAATACTAATTGATAAAACTATTTGCGATTGAAATTTGCATCGTAAAGCCACTTAAATAAAAAAAACGAGCACAGAAATTAATATTTAGTCTTGTTAATAGAAATAATCAAGATAAGAGGAAACTACTGAAGCCTGTCACAGTTTGGGTTCTAAGTGAAAAACAGACAACACCAACAAAATCACGCAAAAGATATATAGCCTATGCGTGGATACCATCTAGTCTAAACTCATAAGATCAAAACATTTCGTTCGTTATATATAACTAAACCTCAACAAATGGTCGGGGTTTGATTACCAAAAAGTGAAGTTTGAGTTAGCACAAGCCTGCTCAGCGATTGGAAAGTAAGCTAGCTGAAGCATTAACACATGAGTAAATCCTGGTTAAAAATATCCTTATAGCCTGTCTGCTGTATCAAATATTATCATAAATTATGCCTATAATGCAGTCGAGGATACAATATATCTATCAAAAATAGATTAACAGAAGTACAACAGAGGGAATATATTATCTATAAGATGGAATCGATCACAAATATTGGAATGGGGAAATTCCTCAAAAGACAAATACAATTATTTATTAATTGAACCTAATGAGTTTAAATACTTAGAATGACATAAATCATCTAGGGACAAATGTAAAAAATAGTTGATTTATTAATAAAGTATTGTTAATTTGGTATCAAGGAGAATTGAAAAAAATCACAAAATACTTCGCTCAGGCTACAGCAGACAATCTTTTATATTCGTGGCATCAGAACCAGATTTACTGGATATAAACTTGTATCATGTAATTTTTCCGGGTTTTTGATCAAAAAATTATCACATTAGCGGAATAGATTAATTACTATTTAGATTTATGGAAAAAAATTAATGCTATTACCAAGCATAATGCAGGTGGCCTAAAAAATCGGAAGCAATACTAATGCAGCTATATTAATAAACCCGGTAGTCTAATCCGAGATGTCTTTTCATAAAAGGAGCATTACCTATAGACATGAATATAAGCATCAAACAAATAATATTGACAATAAAGGGAATGAATAAAACCCAAATCCGTCATTTTTTAAATATATTCATGGATATATTACAAATGAAACCTATTCTCCTATATAATCAACCCAATTAACAGGAAAAAAGCAAACTATTCACTATTCATATGAACGAAGATAAGCTTAAATCTAAATAATTGTCTGGGCTTACCGTTTCAAAAGCTTGATCACTCCCAGTAAGATCATCTTCATCAACACTATGATCCGACTCGTAGTCATCACTCAGAACTGTACCACCTATACTATGCTCAGAATGATGCATACTGTTTTCTTCTGATGATGCGGAAGAAAGCCGAAGTGGAGTAGCTGGATAAAGCGTGGTAGGGCGAAGTGCAGGAGAAGTAAGAATGGATAGATGATCCGTAGCAGCAGGAAAGTGATCGTTAGATAAGGAGAGGGAAACTTTGGGGAAATCGCAGGATGTTGAAATTGAAGCAGCTGCATTTGGAGAAGAAATATTCCCTCGAACAAGACCAGGAGTTGCAGAAGTGTCTGGAAAAGAGTGACCACAGACAACCGTAGCAGTTCCTGAAGAAAATGAACCCAAATCGGACTCGACCTGAGCAGCACTAAGATTAGCTGATAGTAGTGGCGTCAACGAAGTAACTACGGCATTTGGAAGACTAAGTCGACAAGTGTATGACGAACAAGAAGGCTCCGAAGAAGATTCATTAGCGGTAGATTGCATATGCCTTTCACAAGATCCTATTGGGTGGTCTTTTGATTTAGCACTAGAAAACCATTTTCTAACATTTTTTTTCTCCTTGCTTGGCATAGACAGGGATTTGTCAGGGTAATCTGTAGATACGGAAGCAGATAAATTGTCTTGATGTCGAAAATGAAAAAAATTCCGTCGGCGAATTTTGCTATCATGTCTAGGTCGAACTTTCGCATTATTAGGCTCGTATGAAGACGATGAATGAATTAAAGCAACACCATGAGCAGTAACAGATGCGCCAGTCCGGCTTGCACATAATGGTATGCTGG